CTATATCCATTCATCTGTTGATGGACACTTATACTCTTTTCACGTCTTCACTACTGTAGATAAGGCTGCAATGAACATAGGGGTGCAGATGTTTCTTCAACATATTGATCTGCTTCAGATATATACCTAGAAGTAGAATTGCTGAATCATATGGTAGTTCTATTTTTGGATTTCTGGGGAACCTCCATACTGCTTTCCATAGTGGTTGTACCCATTTACATTCCCACCAATACTGCACAAGGATTCCCTTTTCTCCACATGCTCACCAGCATTTGTTATCTCTTGTTTTTTGGTGATGGCCCTTTTAATGGGTGTGAGTTGATAGCTTGTTGAGGTTCTGATTGACATTTCCCTGATGGTTAGTGATGTTGAGCACCTTTTCATGTACCTGTTGGCCATTTGGATATATTCTTTGGAAGAATGTCTATTCAGGTCCCTTTCCCATTTTGAAATTGAACTAGTTGGTTTTTTGCTGAGTTGTATGAATTCTTTATAAATTCAGCCATTAGCCCTTTATTAGATACATGATGTGCAAATATTTTTTCCCCTTCAGTAAGTTGCTTTAGTAGGACTATCTTTTGACTCTGCTTCTCTCCATGAGTCTACTTCATTCTTCATTTTGTGGACCAGTTCTCTCTCTTCTCCTGTCTGCTACGTCCACAGCAAAAAAATGTGCCCATTGTATAGCCAGTCCTAGAGAACTCATCTGCATTCTTATTCCTACTCTCCATCCCCTGTGCCTCTCTCTTCTTTTCTTCATTTCCTCCACATTCCTTGGTTCAGATCTCTGACTAGTCCATCTTGGGTCAGCAGCCTACCCTTGGTCCAATCAACTATGGCTAGTGGGATAGAGTCACATTCTACAAACAAGACTCTAGGCTTTGATTACCATGGATGAAAGAAAGGGGAATCCATGTAAGAAATTAAAGATGTTGCTGTGTACTGTACAGCTATTTTCAGAGGTGACATGGATCAAAATAACATGAGAATGAAAGACTCTTTATCATGAAAAAGCTTTCAACACATGTGAACACAGAGCCATTAATATAATGAACCTCACCATCACCCAGCTATGGATATTTACTCATATAAGCACAATGCTATTACTATGCCTAACAAAATCAATATTTTCTTGGTGTCATCTACTATCCTGTCAATATTTAAATTTCCCCCAATGGCAGGAAACCTTTTTGTATTTGTTTTTTTCAAACCAGGATCTAAACAAGAAACTCATGTTACATTGGTTTTATGCCTCATAAATCTCTTTTCACATAGAGCCGTCTCCCTCCTCCCACTCTCTGACTCAGTTTTCATGACATCGACCTATGAAGAAACCATGTTTGCTGTACTTACTGAATGTCCCACATACTGGATTTTGTCTGTCTGCTTCCTCATTATGGTCTCATAAATAGAATTTCGTTAAAAAGCCTTGATTTATTTCAAGGTCAACATGTGTTGAAAGTACACTTCATAGTGAGGCTGTGTGTTTCCTGCTGCTTCAAGTTCATGATCATTCAATGTCTAGTTGTCCCACTCTTAGTTATGCTGATTGATCAGTGGGTTCAGGTAGTAACAGCTTAATTTCTTCCTTGTAAGAGTCATTATCGAACATTTGCCTAAAATTTTCACCCATTGACTACTTTTGCCTGAATTATTTCATTAGGTACAACAAAATGGAAGTGAGATGATTCTATGGGGGAGGGGGAGCCAGTCCCTATGTACCTTTCCTCAGTATTACCAGATTCTCCTCCATTGGAGGTGTACCATCTTGTATTCCAACCAACAATGTACAAGATAATATTATTATATTTCACTCCAGTATGACCAACCTAGTATGTTTTCAAAGTTCTGATCTTCACTGATATGATAGGTGAGAAATGTTATCTCAGGGTGCATTTAATTGGCATTTCTCCCATGATGAGTGAGGATGAGGGGACTGGGTTTTGAAAACGAAAAAAAAAAAAACAGCAAGAAGGCCCCAGTGATGATAAAGATTTTGAGCATGCACCAACTTATTTCCTCACTTTGGTCAAAAAATATCCTCACACCAAGCTTGGTTCCCAGTTTCCTCTTTTACCAGTAAAAATTCTTTCCTCCCCTGTCGTAATTCCTAGGAAATTCAATAGCACATGGCCCTAGGCCACACAAGATAAATTAGGATTTGAAAGCATAGCTCTCTGGTAACAAGTTTCTTGATAAATGTCACTCCATTACCCCAACAGCAGAGCAGTGGGATTTCCAAAGAACAAAAATCTGCTACAAGGAAGTTCAATGTAAAACAGATTCCCATAAGTAGGTGGACAGCTTAGGCAAAGCAGCAAGACTGAATAATCTTCTCCTTAAGCATTAAGAGGAGTAAGGATGAATCATGAGCACATAGTTCTCATTTTTATAAATACATACTTGAGATATGTAGCAAGTCCTATAGATATTTGAATAATGCAGCTGCATACAGAGAGAAATTCACATATAGTTTACACCAATTGCCATTGTACAGTGGTGATTGTGCTCCCACAGATGTGTTCACATGGCTTATTCTGTCTGAAATTAATTAACAATATGTAGATAGTTTGATTGCTCAAAAAGGCCTTGGAGCACAAGAAAAAGTGTTCAACATCACTCAGCATCGGGGAAATACAAATCAAAACCACAATGGGATACCACCTCACACCAGTCAGAATGGCCAAAATTAACAAGTCAGGAAATGACAGATGTTGGTGAGGATGTGGAGAAAGCAGAACCCTCCTACACCGTTGGTGGGAATGCAAGCTGGTGCAACCACTCTGGAAAACAGTATGGAGGTTTCTCAAAAAGTTGAAAATAGAGCTGCCCTAC